TTGAGGACATGTTAGGACATCTCAAACAAAGTTCCAGTCAATGGTTTAATCATTGTTCTAAATAAAATCCAGATTTCAGGGGCGCCGCTATAACTCACCTGGTTGAGCTGGCGTCCCATGTACAGTCCCAATGTGGAGGTCATGGGTTCAAATCCTGCTCATGACCCTTTCCCCCATTCTTCTCCCCCACTTTCCTGTCTCTCTCTCACTTTCACTATCGAATAAAGGCACAAAGGCCAAAAAATATATAACTTTAAAATCCAGATTTCCGTCTCTCTGGATAAAAAGCCGAAATATGAAACACCATTTTCTCTCTGTGTTTTGAATTAAGTTGGTATCTGATATTGCTCTGGGTGTTAGAATTTGACCATGTTGTTCTCTCATCCAAGATGAGTCAAACATATTCTTGTGAGTATTTAAAGCATACAGCTTTGATGACTCTTGATGAAAACAAAAACAAAACGGGAGCTGTAAGGTCTCTGTAAAGCTACAGACAGGTGGCAAATTAAAGGAAAAGCCAGAATTAAGTGTCTTTGTGAAGTGTTGGACCACCATTTGCCACCAGAACAAGCTTCTATAAGTGTCAGGAACTCTGCTGGTGGGATGAAACAACATTCTTCCTAAAGACATTCCCTCATTTCTTGTTGTTTGTTTATGACGGTGGTGGGAAGTGCTGTCAAACACGTCGGTTCAAAATCTTGCATAGATGTTCAATTGGGTCAATATCTGATGACTGCAAAGGCCACTGTTATCTTATCAGGACAGAAATGTTTCATCACAGGATAAAGGTGATCACTCAGGATCACTTTGCATTGATTTGCAGTGACCCTTCCCTCTAAAGGAACAAGTGGACTCAAACCACGCCAGTAAAAATCCCCCTAAAGCATAGCAGAGACAACGGATCCCCTCATTGTCGTGATCAAGGCTTTACGTTTTGTCCGCCGTCTGCAACTGCTGCCTAAACATTTCTCAAAAACAGTCTGTTTGTGTTTTTTCTACCTGCATAGTGTCCGGCCAGGACATCTTGGCGTCCAGCAGAGCATCCAGTGTTTGCCTCATCAGCTCCTCCCGCTCCGGACCGTCGCCGCTGATGATGTAGCAAGAAGAGCGAACGCACCTGAAGAAGTCCACACTGACGGTGGAGGAGGAGGCTCCAGAGGGAATGTAGGCCAGATCCACGTACACGCTGACCTCACCCACAGAGGTAGACTTAGAGCCTGTGTCAGGGGGGAAATTAGATTGCTGATAGCGAGACACGAATTCTGTTAAAGCTGCTATTAAAGTGCACATTTCACAGCTCATACCTGGACTGGGTGAGGATTTTGCTGGTGCTGAGCGAGTGCTGGAGGACGACGTACGAGTAGAAGAGGCGTTCCCCTTTGTGACTACACTTTGGCTTCCTGTCCTGCTTTTCCCTGAGCTGAGTTTCTGGGGGCCTTCAATAACCTGGTGATTTAAAAAAAAAAAAAAAAAAGAATTTTGACTTCTTTT